ATAAATAAATAAATAAAATAGCTAAATTAAAGCCAGGTAAGAGCTGAGGAGATAGCTCAGTAGAATAAGTACTTGCCTGGCAAGTACAGGGTCCTGAATTCAATCCCCAGTACAAAAAAAAAAAAAAGGCCAGGCAACTTGATGTGTGCCTGTAATCCCAGCTATTTGGAAGACTAAGGCAGGAAGATTTCAAGTTCTGGGGCTGTGTAACCAAGTCAGTGCAATCCTGTCTCAAAATTTAAATGAAGCAGAAAAGGGGGCAGTATCCATGTTAGAAAAGTAGCTCATGGTGGAGAATTTGCCCAGCGTGCAGGAAGCCCTGAGTTCAATTCCTGGAACCAAAAACATCCCAAGCCTTTTGTTACATTTGCTGTAATGCACACCTCTCTGACTATATTTACTAGCTCTGTGGGAACCAGGTTATCCTCTTTCTAAGTCACTCACGCAGGAGTGCACATCAATCTGAGCAACTCCTTTAACTCCCGTGGAAGATCCACTTTTTCTTTTTTTTTTTTTCAGTTGTTTTGAGACAAGGTCTTGCTGTGTAGCCCAGGCTGGCCTTGAACAGGGTGCTGCTTCTGCCTCAGCCTCGAAAGTGCTGAGATAATAGACACACACCACCGTATCTGGCTGAGAATTTGCATTCTTATCCTTTTTTTTTTTTTTGGCAGAACCGGGGATTGAACTCAGGCCCTTGCACTTGCCAGGGAAGCGCTTATTCAACTGAGCCATCTCCCCAGCCCCAAAGAGCTTGCATTCTTGTAGGAAACTAGTCCATCTACTTACTATCAAGTCTTACATTTTGATAATTTTCAGTATCACTGGGTACTAAAAACAGGATTATTCTTGCTTGAGTGGATTTTGGTCAGCTCTAAGGGTAAATAAAAGTTAACTTTTAACTCTAAATCTTTAAAAGTTAGAATTGGATTTGCACTTCAGCAGATGTCCTGGTTCCAGTTTAAATTCTAATTTCTGGGCTGGGCATGGTAGAACATGCCAATTATCCCAGCATGCCTGGAATCCCAGCACTCAGGAGGCTGAGGCAGAAGGATTGCTTATTGATTTGAGTCTAGCCTGGGCTATATGTTAAGACTGAACTATATAGGGAGACTCTGTCTCAAAAAAGAATTCTAATTTCTCCATGTATTTTAAGGTTGAAGCATTAAGAAAAGATGGACCCATGCAGATAACAGTTAAAGATCTACTGACTGTGAAATTAAGGAAGACACAGTGTGCTGATGAAAGGAGGAAGGTAAAATGTCATTGACCACCTTCATGATCTTCTTGCTTTTTTTTTTAAATGCGTTTAGTACAGGGTCTACAGGGTCTCATTACACAGATCGGACTTGTAGTGTCCTCCTGTTTTCAGCCTCCCAAGCGCTGGGATTACAGGCATGCTTCTCAGTGCACCCCAGGGGCTGGGCCAGCACGGCACGCCAGGGATCAAACCCCAGTCCCTGCACCTGCCTAAGCAGGCACTTTAGTCCACTGAGCTATCTGGCCAGCCCTGGTCTTCTTGCTTTTAGCCTAGTTCTTCATTGTGGAAAATAAGCATATAATTTATGTATGGAAGTCAACTCAAATTCAATATTTGATGTTTTATTTTAGTAGTTTTGGATCGCCTAATGTGAAATGTACAGATCCCAACGTTAGTTCATTCATTCTTTTTTTCTTTTTTTTTCTTTTTCTTTTTTTTGTGTGCAGGGCCTTACTACACAGTTCAGACTCATAGAGATCCTCCTGTTTTCTGCCTTCCTAGTGCTGGGATTATAGGCATGTGCCATCATGCCTGGACTCCATTACTGGCCCAACATGCCTGGGGGCGGGGCCAGCACAGCATGCAGTGCCAAAGATAGAACCCTGGCCCCTGCGCTTACCTAAGCAAGTGTTTATTCTGCTGAGGTATCTCTCCGGCCCTTCTTCTTTTTTTATTTTATGAAATAATAGTTTCCTAAGATATTAGTAAGACAATAACAATAGTTTAATACACTATGTATCATTATCTTCAAAGTAGTTATTCACACCATAGGAATAGGACAAAAAGATAGTTTACCAAAAAGAAGAAAAAAGCCAGGTGTGGTGGCACATGCCTGTGATCCAGTACTCGGGAGGCTGAGGCAGGCAGATCATCATGAGTTTGAGGCCAGCTTGGCCTTACCAATTGAGCTCAAGGACAGCCTGAACTGTACATTGAGACCCTGTCTCAGAAAAACAAAACAGATATGGGGGGAAGCAAACAGAAAATAAGAAAAAAGGTTCTTTTTGATGAACTAAGATAAACTAGTAGTATAAATGAAATAAATTAGCATATACATAAAACATTTTTTAAACAATGGAATATGTAATTTGGGGAAGTGTTTTAATTTCTCCCTATTTTCTGTTTATTTTTCTTCTATTTTGCTCTTCATTTGTATATATATTTCATATAGAAGAGAAGCCAGGGGCTGGGGAGATGGCTCAGTGGAATAAGCACTTCCCTGGCAAGTGCAAGGGCCTGAGTTCAATCCCTGGTTCCACCAAAAAAAAAAAAGAAGAAGAAGAGAAGCCAAGGGATACTTAAGTGTATGTCTTTGATTCAACTCACTTGATATGTTCTGAAGTTGTATCCATTTACCTGTAAATGCTTCAAATTTATCTTTTTATGACAGTATAGTACTCCATTATGTATAAATACCACATTTTTCTTGTTCATTCATCTCTCCAAAATTATTTCAACAGACTTTATCTACCAACCATTAGTCTGAAGAAGTAGAAACATGCTTTGAAATTTTGGAATAAAAATCATATTTCAAGCCAGCCAGAGAGCTCAGTGGACTAAAGCGCCTGCTTAGGCAGAGTTCAGCATGGCTAGAGTTTGATCCCCAGCATGCTGTGCCGGTCCTATCCCCCGGGGCATGATTGAGATTGGGCGTGGTGGCACACACCTGTGATCCCAGCGCTTAGGAGGCTGAAAACAGGAGAATCACTACGAGTCCTATCTATGTAGTGAGACCCTGTAGACCCTGTACTAAATACATTTTTTAAAAAGTCATATTTAATGTTTGAGCACATTTAAATTTTGAATGATATTTTAACATATGTTTTTAATAATGTCTCACTTTATGATTAAAGCCTGTAGCATCACCGAAAGCACGGAATCCACTAGTTACTCTTTCTGACCTGCAACGTGTTACCCTGAAACCTAACTCCGAAGTGTTATCAAGACGAGTTACAAATGTCTTAATGTAAGAAACTACACAGTGTTATTACTGCTACTTAAAAGAATGATTTTGTTTTAGCTTATATCTATCTTTAAAAGGCATATATGCTCATTATAGAATAATTTAAATATATAGAAATTATAGAAAACTCTCTGCCTGTCTTTCTTTCTTTCTTTCTTTCTTTCTTTCTTTCTTTCTTTCTTTCTTTCTTTCTTTTTTCTTTCTTTTTGATATGGGGTCCATTTCAGGCCAGACTTGAACTCACTATGTAGCCCAGGCTGACCTCAAATGCATGGTGATCCCTATGCCTCAGCCTCCCAGCTAAAATTATCTAGATAATTCAGGCAAAATTTAACTTTGAGGGACTGGGGAGATACCTCAGCAGTCTAAGCACCTGCCTGGCAAGCACAAGGACCAGGGTTCAATCCCTGGTACCACATGCCATACCCACCCTGGAGCCCTGGGCATGCCATGCTGGCCACCAAAGCCAAGCATAGTGGCACATGCCTGTAATCTTAGCACTGGGGTGGCTGAGACAGGAGGATCACTAGTCTAAGCTGCATAGTGAAACCCTGTATCAAATAAATAAATGATTAAAAAAAAATTTAACTTTGAGCAACTCTTTCAACTTCTATGTTACTCAGAATCCTATTATTGAATATGACCACAGCTAACATACTACTTATCTTTCAATTTTTTTTTTTTTTTTCAGGAACCAGAGATTGAATTCAGGCCCTTGCGCTTGGCAGGGAAGCACTTACCTTTTTTTCTGGACATATAATACACTCTGGCTTTTACTTCACACTGCTGACTATCATATGATATGCTATTGATTGGGCTGGGGAGATAGCTCAGCAGCCCCTGCCTGGCAGGTTCAAGGCTTGATTCTTAGCACTAGAAAAATAAACAAGCATATATA